CCCCCCCCCCCTCCCCGCCCCGATCCGTGGGACTCTTGAGATCGAAATGTAGGAAGAGGAATAACAATGATGTTGCGGCTCAACTTTTCTTGAGAATAAGGAGCCAGCAAGATGAGGAGCATCTACACCACCCCCAAGTCAACAACCAACCACATTGGTTTAATTCAAGACTGAATATTGTCTTAGCAAAGCTTGAGGCGCTCCTTCCTTGTCCCAACCAACTCCCGACGCAAATGATAGCTGGAGTCGGTGGGGGCGGGAGGGATAGACGCATCATCCTCTGATGGGGTTTCGATCCTAGGAGGGGGCTCCTCCGGGATGAGGGGAGCGGACACCCCGGACGCGAAAAAGTTCAGCGTCCGACTGAAGGAGATGTACAAGGAGAGGATCAACTTCTACCGACAGATGGTGTACCTCCTTACCGGGTGAGAGCGAGAGAGACGGGGGAGGGGGGGGGCGTTTCAAGGGGTGTCCTCAAGAACTTGTTTCGCTTTCAATTCCCTTCATGCCACCTCTTGCTGCTGAGCGGAGGAATTGTTTTTGTATTTGAGTCGACGAAAGATGTTCATACCTTTCGTTTGAGAGGGTGCGTTGGATTTGTGTTTGAGTCGACGAAACATGTTGATACCTTTCGTATGAGAGAGTGCGTTGTTTTTGTGTTTGAGTCGGCGAAAGATTTTCATACCCTTAGTACGAGAGAGTGCATCTTTTTCAGGTTTGGGTCGGCGAAGGAGGAAAAAACTGCCGCAGGAGAGGGAAATCGTGCCGGCGGGTGGCCTCCCTCTTTTCTTTCGCTCCAGGAGAGTGAGTCCAATTATGCTCATCGGTTTTGGCAACGAGTCCGTGAAGATTTGTTGAGGGAAGTCTGCAGGACACGTGTAAAGCAGGAGATCGATTTGGCAATGCTCCCGACGGCCCTCCATCCCCCGTCCCCTCCCCCGGACTGCCCAAGTTTGTCACGAGAATAGACCAGGCAGGGGGCACGCAGACCTTAACCCGCACATTAGCTGATTCTTTACTTTATCCAACATGTTTGCTTTCTTAGAAAAACCTGCGTAGACTACCGTGTCCCCCCCCGCCCAACTCGAAAATCGAGCACGACACGTGTATCCACGAAACACCCTTTTTGCCGCTCGATCAGGTATCGAATCGACCTGATGAAGGACCCTTCTCGGCAGATGCTGCGGCTGAGGTCCATGTACGCTGAGCAGGAGTCCGACTGCCTCGTGTTCCAGCAGAAGCCCCAGAGCGAGGGGGGTGGGCTGGAGCTGGTGGAGACGCCCCTCGCCGTGCAGCACATGGACAAGGTAAACAAACCGATCGGGGCCATCCAGCACGGTGGGTGACACGACGTAAGATATCACGCCCCCTGGACTGATTTTCAAACCTCGATTACCCCCTTCCACGACAAAGAGGATGCATGAATGAAACGTTTTCGAAAACACCTCGACGAGACGGTTTCAGCGACGGCGTCTTTTTCGGCGTTGCCACTCGTTGTGCTGTGGAGAAATGGAGCTTTGAAGATCGGTTCGGGGGTGTGGTATCTTGGGTGATGTCACCTACGGTAGGTAGCCTGGTGCTTGCTTTCTTCGGCTTTAGGGCACGCGTTTTGTGACGTCAGGGGCAGGTTGATACTTGTCGCGCGGAAAAGAGAGTTGTTGAGCACGAGAATGGACGAATAAGTATGTGTGATGCAGCTGTATGCAGCTCTTTGTAGGCAAGGGGGAGGGAGGTCTGAAGTTGGGAACCTAAATATTTGCTTGGGCGCGAGTACGGTAGGCAAGGTGACGTAGTAACTCACACGTCCCGTCGCTGCTATTACACCTCATGACACCGGGGATGCCCAATCAACCTGTGGTTTATCTTTGCACAACAAAGGCAAGGATGACGACAAGCTTCTGGTTCATCCTTGTGCAACGTATCTAGCCTTGGCCGGCGAAAACCCGGCATATCCCTTGCTCCCGGCATTGTAGGGATTTGACGTCTATGGTCTACGGACTACGGCATGCGTTTGCATAAGTATACCCCCCCCCCCCCCCCCCCCCCCCCCCCCCCCCCCCCCCCCCCCCCCCCCCCCCCCCCCCCCC